TGGACGGGTGTGGGTGATGGAGGAGGAAGAAGGGTTGGGGGTGGTTGGCTATGGTGGACGGGCGTGGGTGATGGAGGAAGAAGAAGGGTTGGAGGTGGTCAGCTATGGTGGACGGGTGTGGGTGATGGAGGAAGAAGAAGGGTTGAAGGTGGTCGGCTATGGTGGACGGGTGTGGGTGATGGAGGAGGAAGAAGGGTTGAGGGTGGTTGGCTATGGTGGACGGGTGTGGGTGATGGAGGAGGAAGAAGGGTTGGGGGTGGTTGGCTATGGTGGACGGGCGTGGGTGATAGAGGAGGAAGAAGGGTTGAGGGTGGCCGGCTATGGGGGACGGGTGTGGGTGATGGAGGAGGAAAAGGGGTTGGAGGTGTTCGAGATTAGAGGAGCGGTGGCGACAGTGAAAGCTTATCGGACACAACCTAACTCTTAACCCCATGCCCCCTTTTCTACCCGGGTGCCCGGCCACCTCATACTATTATTGGAAGGCACAGGTTACGTAAAAGAGGAAGGACTGTGCGGGGCTACCGGATTGCAAACCACACACCTACTTATACCGCAGATCACCGGTTGCAGCAAGGGTTAAGGGTGGACTGAACAGGTTACCGGGGACTGCAACACACACACTCACACATACCGGGTGTCACCGGTTGCAGCAAGGGGTAAGGGTGGACTGAACGGGTCACCGCGGACTGCCACACACACACATACACATACCGGGAGTCACAGGTTACAGCAAGGGGTAGGGGTGGTCTGAACAGGTTACTGGGGACTGCAACACACACACATACACATACCGGGAGTCACAAGTTACAGCAAGGGGTAGTGGTGGACTAAACAGGTTACTGGGGGCTGCAACACACACACATACACATACCGAGAGTCACCGGTTACAGCAAGGGGTAAGGGTGGACTGAACAGGTTATCGGGGACTCAACACATGCATATACACTAATTATCGTCAATCGACAAGTTCGGAAGCGTCTAGCCTAGTGGACAGTTCACCGAAGTATACCGAGGCAAATCGCAACTTGCCTACGCATCAAGATCTGTACAAACACAAATTTGAGAGCTTCTGAACTAGTGGAAGGTTCACCAAAGTATCCCAAGGTAAATCGCAGTTCACACACACATCAAGATCAGTACAAACACAAGTTTGAGAGCATCTGAACTAGTGGAAGGTTCACCAAAGTATCCCAAGGTAAATCGCAACTCACACACACATCAAGATCAGTACGAAGACAAGTTTGAGAGCATCTGAACTAGTGGAAGGTTCACTGAAATATCCCAAGGTAAATCGCAACCCACACATACATCAAGATCAACACAAACACAAGTTTGAGAGCATCCAAACTAGTGGAAGGTTCACCGAAGTATCCCAAGGTAAAGCATTATACCCCCAAGCACCCAAATCATTAAAATGACGAGTTTGATGACATCTAGATCAGGGGAATGATCACGAAGTATCACAAGATGAAGCGATACACCCCCAAGCACCCAAATCCGCAGCATGACAAGTTTGATGACATCTAGACTAGGGGAATGATCACCGAAGTATCACAAGATGAAGCGCTACACCCCCAAGCACCCAAAATTATCAAAATGACAAGTTTTGAAACATCTATGCTAGGGGAAAGATCACCGAAGTATCCCAAGATGAATCGCAACATGCACAAGCATCAAAATCAGCAATTTGACAAGAGTGATGACATCTACACTAGGGGAATGATCACCGGAGTATCCCAAGATAAATCGCAACACACCCAACCACTCAAATCAGTAAGCACAAGATTTGAAGCATCTACACTAGGGGAAAGATCACCGAAGTATCCCAAGATAAATCGCAACACACCCAACCACTCAAATCAGTGAAAACACA